CAAAGTGCAATTTTTACTTTTATTTCATCGATCTTTCCCATTTCTGTTGCCCTACAAGGTGAGTAAGAATAATGATTTTTAAAATTTAAACTATAGTTTTCCTTGCTGTCCCTTTTGAGAGTCTGTCCCTAGTAGTGTTCCTAAGAGTGGCTTCAGTTGGTAGAAAAAAATTTCAAAGTTATGTTTGGGATAAATTGTCTTTTTCCTTTAATCTTACAGAGAACCTTCTGAGGCTCCAATCACTTTTGATGCAGATTCCTTTTTTAATTATTTTGATAAAGTTTTAGGTGAGTTGCAGTGTGATGTTTATTTTCATTTTGAAACGAAGTTGTGTAGAGATTACTAGAGCATTAGGGCATTGGATCTCCTGGAAGTCAAAACATTTGCTTTTTCTTCTTGATTTCGAGCTGCTTTCAGCCATTAATTATTGTCCTGTTGCGGAGGATGCCTTGCTTAGTGCCTGACATGGTAGCTGCTCATTAAATATTTGTTGAGTAAATGAATGCTGTGTGTTTAGATGGGTTTTTCCTGGGCTCCCACACTATATTGCTTTTTCTCCTTTAGGCATATTGCACTTGCACACTCATAATAAAAAGACAAACAGCCCAATTTAAAAAAATCAACAAAGGATATAAACAGGCAGTGCCTTGAAGAAGAAATATAGTCAATAAATATTTGAAAATAGTAACAGTTTCTACTAAGCAAATAAAAATAAGAACTTTTTTTTTTTGCCCATCATATTGGCAAAAATTTAAAAGATTGATAAAAGCCAGTTTTCTCAAGGGTTGGAGAAATGAGCATTGTCTAACTGTGGAAGTAGAAGTGTTAAAGTTGTCTTTTCTCAAGGCAGTTTGGTACTCTAGAATGTTAATAACCTTTGACTTAGCAATTTCACTTCCAGGAATTTACTTTATGAAAAAGATACATATGCTAAGGTAGTGATTGCAACACTGTAGTATTAAAAAATTGGGTTATAGTATAATTTTACCAAAAAAAAATCATAGTACATCCATATTATACTCCGCAGCCTTAGTGAAGAATGAGGCCCATCTATATGTTTTGACAGCAAAGAACCGCGAAGATAAATAATGAGAAAAGAAAACCATAGTTCAATATGTATATCTGTGTAAAAAAATACATATTATATACATACACAGAATTGCATAGATAAACGTCTGGGTACCTACCAAACTGTTAAAAGATGCTTAACTGTAGGAAGAGAGTGAAATGTGAGACAATAATTCTGTATAACTTGAATGTTTACATAAAAATGTATTCATGTATTATCTAGTTTTTAAATTTTTTTAAGTAAAATATTTTAATTGAATTCACATTTTTTTTCAAAAAGCTGAATCTTTCAGCTCAGCCAGTGTACTTTTCTGCAAATGTATGTCAGTACCATTTTCTGGAGGGGATTTTTCTGAAGTGGTTTGCCTATCTATGTTAGTCCTTTTCTGCAGATAATGTTCTAATTCTTTTGAGAGGTGTAATCACTCCAAAAAAATTTACCAGATGGCTTTCTATGTTGGGGTCTGTGTAGGGTCCAGGCTTCATGAGTCAGACTCCGACGATGTGGATGAGGAAGACTCTGAATGTTTAGATAGTGATGATGACTTGGATCTCGAAACACAGGAGCCTGGGGAAGAAGCGTCTATAAAAGGAACTCTTGATGATCTCAAGTCATACATGGCCCAGATGGACCAGGAACTGGCACATACCAGCATTGGCAAAAGTTTCACCACCCAGAAGCAAATGGTATATGTGTGTTTAACCTCTTTCCCTTTTGAGTCTGTTACAAAGGATAGCTAAAACCGTATTTTCTCTTAGTTTTTCTTTTTTCTTTTTGATCTGTGATAATTTTTTATGATGAATTTGATTTTTTGATTTGAAATAAATAAGAATGCTAATTTTTTCCAAACTCTGGTAGGATGAAGGATTATTAATTTTCCTAAACATAAATAGGCTTAACTATATTATTTATTCTGTGTTATCTATCAGGATTTAAAATAAAAAGTCATGGCTGTGTTCAGATTAGTATGCAGTTGCATACTTCTGCTAATGACTTAAATGGATTTTAAAAAAAGAGAAAGGATATTAAATATCCAAGTATTTTCAAGTCTTAATAGTATTTGTTTTATATGTTTCTCTTATTTAGAGCCAAATTTAGAATTCATCTTCCATCATGTTTTTACCCTAGTTTTTATACCAGTACTGTCTAACTACAGACAGAGACATAGAAAGAGAATGGACCCTGGAGTCTCATGGGTCAGGGTTTGAAATCCAGCTTAGCCATCCACTGTGGATGTATCCATTAACCAATAATCCTCATGTCATAGAATGAACACGAGAATCAAAATGAGATGACAGTTAAACTCATAATGGGCCCTTAATTAATGTTATTCCCCTTGCTTTGATCATCTTAACTTCATTTAAAACTATAAATCACTTTCAGTATTGCCAAAACCTCGTAGAAACCATGCATGAGATTTATCTAAAGCAATGTTTCTTAAATTTTAATGTGGATGTGAACCACCTAAAGATCTTGTTAAAATATGGATTCTTGTTAAGTATATCTAAGGTGAAGGCTGAGATTTTACATTTCTTACAAGTTCCCAGGTGACAGACTTGCTGCTGGTCCAGGGACCACACTTTAAGCAGAGATACAAAAGATAGATTAAGCTGCAATCTTTCAAATCCTTTCCCTAGCCTGTGAAATCAGGGACTCAAGTACCAATTCAGAGTCTTTGTGGTTGGACTCTGCAAAGCCTCAGATTTTTATTTTGTTTTTTCATTGCAGGGGGGAAAGGGAAATCTAGCTTTTTTCATTTAGAGAAAATTTTAGAATTTTTTTTTAAATATTCATTTTTCTGTTTATTTCTCTTAAAACTCTAAGGCAAGCTATAAATGGACGTCCTTGACCCTGGTTATTTCCCTTGGGCTATTTCAAAACAGGGAAGAAATCCATTTAATATGTAGAAACTTTTCTTAGGAAGAAATGTGTTACATCTTTGGGACCAAATTTTAATATGTGTGTTAAATTACATTGTTTATTATTAGACTTCATTTTTACTTTCTAACAAGAAGCAAATTTCCTTTCTAATGTGGAATTCCATTTTACATTGTTGCTTAGTTATCTTTTTATTGTAACTACCATCCAACCTAATAGCATATTATCCCATGATTTTCTTTTCCCTCCACGAATAAGGAACCTCTATCCCAGACTACCAATAACAATTCAGATGAGGAAGATTCTGGTGCAGGAGGATCTGTTATGACGCCACTGGATGTAGACCTGAACCTGGTTTCAAATATATTGGAATCCTATAGTTCCCAAGCTGGACTGGCAGGACCTGCTTCTAACCTTTTACAAAGCATGGGAGTACAGCTGCCTGACAACACTGATCACAGACCCACAAGTAAGCCAACGAAAGATTAGCCAGCAAACCTAGCCTCTCTTTTTTTTTCTTAAATAAATATTGAGTCTGACTGTGCTGATTTATGATTTTGATTACTCATTTAGTAAAAATGTTTTCTGTGGGGAGAGTATAGCTCAGTGGTGAAGTGCGTGCTTAGCATGCACAAAGTCCTGGGTTCAATCCCAAGTACTTCCATTAAAATAAATAACAACCTAATTCCACCCCCCCAAAAGAAGTTCTCTTCGTTGTAAGTTTCGCAGATTGATTTCTCTTCCCTGAGCCTCAAACGTTGCCTCTGCACAAGTCTCTGTGATCTCAACTCAGAGGTGCACTCAAGGTTATGAAGTCAGCAGAGAGAGCGAATCAAGCCCCTGGACAGCCCCTGAGATTTACACACTGCATGTTTGGAACATTTTTTATCTTTACTGAGGATTAAATGTTGGGAAGAGAAAGGAAGGTAGATAGTCAAACATAAGGAATGAATGAGTTGCTTTCTTATTCCAGTTACCAGGAATGACCTTGAGCCAGCCTTCCTCTGGTGACAAGTTAATGTTTTACCTGTTTCTGCTCTTCTTCATGGGACCTAGTGGGTTCTTTTTATCCTTATCATTTTCATAAATCATTGCCACATAACTGTTCTCCAGCCAGACTTCTGTACCAAAGTTTCTTTTATTTCTCTGCTATTTTTCAGTATCCCAACCCTGCCCTCCTTTGCCTCTGCTTTCAGTAATCTTTGGAGTTCTAAGAAGCAAAGCCCTCTTTCCTCTCACTGCTGGGAAACAAAGGTCAATGTTGCAGCTCCTCCTATTAGCCACTCTCATTTTTTCTTTTCCAAAACAACACATTAATCCAAAAGCAAACAGTTACTGCATGGTAAGTTTGAGAAACTCATAACCAGGAATCCTGCACACTCCCCTTTCTATCAGTATTTTCAGACCGGGGATGTGTACACATGTGCTCACAAACACACCCACATAGAGACAGAAAACACTGGGAGACGGTAGTACACATGGACCCTGAACTGTTTTCTTCTAACTACAAGATATGAAGAAATCTCAGGACCTCTCTTTCAAGAGTGCATTTCCCTTCTACATGCTGGGTTCAGCCCAGGTAAAGGCAAGCTGCCAATCCAACAGGATAATCAAGTTTCATCACATATCCTCAGCATTTCCTGATGAAGGCAATTTGATTTCCCTAAAGCAATGACGGTTTGCTGGCAATGGTGAGACCAATGACCTTTTGGGATCAAAAGGAAATTCAGTGCTTTAACCTTTCCAGTTTTAGAAATCTCTTTTACTTAGTCCTGTGGGACTTGGATATTTAAATAATCCCGGGGTCTCTGGCACTTGTGTCTTTAATCATGAATTAGTGCGTAAAAGCACCTGGGATATGACTCTCTTCTCCAGCCATTCCTCTTTTCAAACAGACTTCTAATGGTATTTCTTCTGGTCGTTGCTTTAGTCATTATACAGACTTGGAAACTGGACTTAAATGTTTGTCACGTAAATAGAGATTACTTCCTCCCACCCCCAATTCTCACTTGCTACAATTTTCTAACTATCATAAGACGCAAAAATACACCTGAACAAAGGTACAGACATTTATTTCATTCTCTCCAGGTAAGTGCTTGTCCCTTATGACAAGGTATAGAATGGCATGTATAACTGATGAGAAATCCTAAATTTAGTTTATCCCATAAAACTCAGGAAATGGTTCATCTTCACTGATCCCTTCTTTGAAGTTACAACACTTACTGGGTGTGCAAATGGCATCAACCATTTTACATTTAGGAAAACAGACATGGCAAGGGATAATCTCTTCCTTGGTTCACAAACTGAGCAAATAACAGCAAAAAAGACTTAACTGTTTTGAGCCCCATTAGGATGCAGTTACCTCAACAGAACATCACTGCATCTGATTTATTACAGAATACCTTGAGGAAGACCTTAACTCCTACTTTCCTCAACCCTTCGGATGACTTAAAGAAATATGACCTTTATTTAACTACCATCTACAAAATAGTTACATGAATTCAAAAATGTTATGTTGTGCTATTTTAAAAAATTCTATGAGGATTAAAAAGTAACTTGCTATATATTTTTTGATACCAAGATAAAAGTTTTAACTAAAATTATACCAGGCACATTTTGGCAGTTAGTATAAACCCAGCATTAATAAGTCACATGCCAAAAGATGTTTGCTTCCAAAGCACAGGAGAAAATGAGTGAACAAGAGCCTATATCCAAACTAATGCTTTAGCCTTCCCTTTGATTTTGACAACTGTCATCTTGTCAGTTTTGGCATTTTTGATTGCCTGTGAGTAGGGACTTCTTCATAAACACTGCTGGTAGTGATGTCTCGCTGTAAGCGCTTCACCTGCTCTGCCTTATGAGATTGTCCTGGATATGGCCTTTTGTCACCTCCTCTTTATCAGCTGATATCTGATGTTCCCCTGAGACAGTGAGGAGGTGTTTACCTGATCAGGTGACCCAATCTGAGCTAAACAGGCAGGGTAGAACGGGTTGGTTTTTCCACCCACTCCTTAATCAGTTGGTGGGCAATAGCGAACTTTGGGGGCAACCAGAATGGGAAAGCCCTATTCTGTTGCTGAGTATATGGGTTGTTTCTCCTCAGGGCTATGGCCACCTCATTGTGACTGAACCAGGAAGCTGCTTCTAGTTCTCTCAAGTTCAACCGGATCTGAAAGACATAAGGAAAAACAGGATATAAGGTTAGGAGCTACAAAACTTAGAATACTATGGCCAAAGATGAGAAAATGGTTCTAGAACTGAGCAATCTTAGAAGGTAATATCTGGGGTCTATAGGCTGGGAGATAATCAGTTCTAGATATTCCAGAAGCAAAGGAGCCATAATTAAGAGAGAGAGTTAGGTATATTTTTCAAAAAAACTATTGTGGTGTAATTTCTGTACAGTAAACTATACATATTTCAGATATACAATTTGATGAATTTTGATAGATGTATATACACCAATGAAACCACCACCACAATCAAGATAACTAACATTTCCATCACTTCCCAAGAGGTACAAATTTTGAACTCTCAACTTATCCCTTCCCACCCCTTTTACACCCTGGTAACTGTAAGTTTCTTCTCTGTGTCTGTGAGTCTATTTCTGTTTTGTAAATAAGTTCATTTGTGTCTTTTTTTTTTAGATTCCGTATATTAAGTGATATTATATGGTTTTTTTCTTTCTCTTTCTGGCTTACTTCACTTAGAATGACAATCTCCAGGTCCATCCATGTTGCTGCAAATGGTATTGTTTTATTCTTTTCTATGTCTGAGTAGTATTCCATTGTGTATATATACCACAATTTTTTGTCCAGTCATCTGCTGATGGATATAGGTTGTTTCCATGTCTTGGCTATTGTAAATAGTGCTGCTGTGAACATTGGGGTGCATGTGTCCTTTCAGATTATATTTTTCTCCAGAAATATGCCCAGGAGTGGGATTGCTGGATCATATGGTAAGTCTATTTTTAGTTTTTTTAAGGAAGCTCTATACCATCCTCCATAGCAGCTGCACCAATTTCCATTCCACCAATAGTGTAGGAGGGTTTCTTTTTCTCCTCTCCAGCAATTAGGTTTGTTTGATTAGCATTTCATTTACTGAGGCTTGCTTTATGGGCCAGCATGTGATCAATTCTGGAGAATGTTCCATGTGCACTTGAGAAGAATATGTATTCTGCTGCTTTCAGACAGAATGCTGTATAAATATCAATTAAGTCCGTCTAGTCCAAAGTGTCATTTAGGGCCTATATTTCCTAATTGGTTTTCTGTCTGGATGATCTGTCCATTGATGTAAATGGGGTGTTAAGGTCCCCACTATTATTGTGTTATTGTCAATTTCTCCTTTTATGTTTGTTAACAGTTGCCTTATATACTGAGGTGCTCCTATGTTAGGTTCATATCTATTTACAGTTGTTATATCTTCTTGGATTGATCCCTTGAGCATTATGTAGTATTCTTCTTTGTCTCTTTTAACAGTCTTTATTTTAAAATCTAAATAAAGATTTTGTCTGATATAAGTTTGCTACTCCAGCTTTCTTTTGGTTTCCATTTGCATGAAATATCTTTTTCCATCCCTTGCTTTCAGCATGCATGTGTCTCTAGCTCTGAAGTGTGTCTCTTATAGACAGCATATATATGGATCTTGTTTTTGTATCCATTCAGCTAGTCTGTGTCTTTTGGTTGGAGCATTTAATCCATTTACATTTCAAGTAATTATTGGTATGTATATTTTTATTGCCATTTTGTTAATTGTTTTGGGGTTTGTTTTTGTAGGTCTTTTATTCTCTTTCTTCGTTTTGTTCTCTTCTTTTGTGGTTTGATGATTGTAGAGTTACATTGGTTTGCGGTTACCATGAAGTTTTGGTATAGAAGTCTATATGTATACATGATTGTTTTAAGTTGCTGGTCTCTTATTTTCAAATGCATTTTAGATACCCTGCATTTGTACCCTCCTCCCCCTTACTTTTCTTTTCTCTCTTTTTTTTTTTTCCCCTGTTACTTTTCTTATTCTAGTTGTGGCTTTTTTTTTTTTAACCTAGAGAAGTTCCTTTAACATTTGTTGTAAAGCTGGTTTGGTAGTGCTGAATTCTTTTGGCTTTTGTTTATCTGTAAAGCTTTTGATTTCCCCATCAAATCTGAACAACAGCCTTGCTGGATAGAGTATTCTTGGTTGTAAGTGGTACTTTTTTAATATTAAAAAAATATTTTAAAAATCCTGGAAGCTCAAATACTAAAATATTAAGATTGATTAACATTGAGGGGTAAGTTGTGAATAATGCTTATTTCTCTTTGTGCCTATATTGATTATATAACTTTCCATTAAAAAAACACAAATATTACTCTTCTTTAAAGGACAAGGGTTAATTAATGATCATTGAAAGCATAGTATATTCCTTGCAAGAAGCAAAGTGATGCAAACTGCATCCACAGAAAGTTGAGACAGATTAGATATTAGTCATTGTAAAGAAACCAAAGCATACAATAGACAGACTTCAGCAGATAGGGACCAAAGGCCATCTGTCAGGGATGCTACAGAAAAGCAAGGTGAGGTTGGATAAGACAACATTTAAGTCCCTTTCAACCAGAAGTTCCTATAATTTTATATTATTAGTTCCCAACATCTTGACTGACTTGAGCAATATGATCAATCATTAAATTTTATATGTTTATTGTGTATTCTATGTAAGATGCTCTGTTTTTCTGTTTTGTTTTGGTTCTGGTGTTTTGGGGGGTGGAGGGGGAGGCAATTAGGTTTGTTCATTTGTTTATTTATTTATTGGAGGTACTGGGGATTGAACCCAGGACCTTGTGCATGCTGAGCACTCACTTTACCGCTGAGCTATACCCTCCCTACTAAGATGCTCTGTTAATTTCCTAATGATGAAAGATTTTTTTTTTATGATGGAGATAGATATACAAAAAAGAATGGTGACCATGTTGGCACTCCCAATTTTCATGGTGATTATTTGTTTTCTTTACAAGATTGCAAATTCCTTAAGAGTGTACATCATATCTTACACATCTTTGTATAATCTAGACAATGCTGGACTAGACTGGTGCTTAATAAGTACCTACAGACCAGCAAAGGATGGATGAGTCAAAGGGTATATCATAAAGGAAGCATCAGAACTTACCTCTGTCTGCCCTGGTTTCACCGTTGCATGACAAGCAATCATGAGTGAGCTATTAGGAAAGGGCCAGTGCTGGGATGCAGAGTAGTGCAGCCTTTCCACCTCCAATCCCACCTCTTCTGCAACTTCTCGCCGGACAGTCTCTTCCAGACTTTCACCTACAAGCACTCAGATTAATTCAGGACAGCCCTGTAGCAGGAAGGGTGATACAGACGCCCATTTGTGAAAGGAGCGCAAAGCTGCCTCCAAAGTTTCAATGAAATACTCTTGGGAGAGCCCTAAATCTCTGAGTCTCTACAACACTAGGAATCAAGTCTGGAATACTTGAACCTGCTAGGTTAGTTATGCAAAATAAGAGTGGGAAAGGCTGCTGCTGCCCTCAGCTTTTTAATTAAATTTGAATGCCACATTTCACCATTTGCAAATTTTACCCCAATAGACTGAGGGGAAAACCCTAAAAATAAATATTAAATTCTAGTTAACATTAATATAATACTAATATGTATATTATATGTTGATAATATTAATATGTTATTAATATGCATGCTGAAATATTTAGGAGTAAGTGTACTAATGTCTGCAATCTATGCATCAAAAAATAAGATGGATTAATGGGTGAATAGAGGAATGGATAGACAGATATGTGATAAAGTACAGTAATTATGGAATTTAGGTGGTGAGTATGAGTGTTTACTATTTAAGTCTTCCAATTATGCTTATGTTTGAAAATTTGCCTATAAAATACTGGAAAATTATAATGCCAGACATTTTCTCTATAATAAGGAAGAATATGCTTGAGACTCCAAGCACTATTGCAAAAAGACAAATACATACTGTTCGTAAGCTTTTGTGTCCTTAAATGTCATCTGTACATACCCTAAATTCCTTACCTATATCACAAAAACCTGCCAAGGCAGAATACATTCCCTTGGGAAAGAAACTTTGGCGGGCAAGCAGGCATCGAGTTCCATCTGACACCAGAGTGATCACCACAGGAGCCATCTGGGAAAAGGGGATGGAAACTTAGACACTAAGGCTTTGGGACCTGTTAATGAGATAAAGGAATAAATAACTAAGGAAAGCCTTTTAGTTGTACAGGCTTCCATCCCCAGGGCAGAGTAGTGCACAACCTTCTTGGATTACTGTCCTTTTAAAGCAGCACTTACCTGTGGATAATAGATGATCTTATTGGAAGAGCACACACGCTTGCTGCCAGCCATGTTCTTCTTGGTGGGCTGCCCACTTCTGCTGCAGAACTGATGAGTGTCATGCCAGCGGAGAAGAGCTTGAGCCTGGGAATGCGACGATGGACTTGATTTCATTTGGAGAGGATGTGGGGCTCACCAATAACAATGCTGGGCCTCCTATTGAAGCAACTCAAAGGGATATGCCAATTTCTTTCCAGCTCACCTACTTTAAATGATTATTAACTATTTAAGCTTTAAAATAAGGAAACTATCTGAACATAGTCGTCTAGTATTTGAAGAATAAATTTTTAAAAAGCATATTTTAAATGTATTATGAATCATTTTAAAAATACATAATATATCAAGTATTATAATCATCCATGTACTTATGACCCAGCTTTAAAAGAAAACATTTCCAATGTAATTAAACACCCCAACATGTACTCCTCCCCAATAAAGTTGGAATTTTTTGGCAAATAAAAAATGTTTAGAGCTACCTCTTTAAATGGACAATCAAAAGCACTTTAGCAAGTGAAATCTAAAGCTGGAGGACAAGTCATTAAAACTACATTAAATAATTTCTCATGATACATATGTCACGCTGTGGTCATTCAAAATGTTTATGAGGCTGATAGATCATATTGCTGTGGATCTTCATGCCCTTAGGAGAAAATGATACTGAGGACCTTAGGAGAACAATGGTCCTGCCAAAAACAGGATAAAAGAAGGAAGAAACCGTAATCTCCCTACTGCACATTGTCTTTCTGCCAGCGTTTGTAGGAAGGAGTATGATCTGCAAAAGGAGAAATCAAATGTTGCCCGTATAAACTACTTTACTACATTTCCTACCGAATGGAGAAATCAAAATCTACCGTGGATAACAAGGAGGCATCCTTCACATTCAGCTGATAGAGAGCCTTCCTCAGCTCAGTGAAAGACCCTGTGAGCTCTTTCTCCACTTCAGGTTTCTGCAAGGAAGCTAAAAAATTGGAGAAGAGAACGAAATGAAACAAATGTCAGATTTTGCCTCGGGGACCCTCTCAAGTATATCCTGTTAGAACAGTGTTTCCCAAGCTCACCTAATAAGACTCAACTAGGGAGAATAAAAAACTTACAGGTTCTCAAGCCCCTACCTGGAAATTCTGAGTAGGAGATGAGTGAGGCCCAGAAATCTTTATTTTTTTTAAACAAGCACCAGGAGATTCTTATATTCAGGGAAATTTGGGAAACATTAGTGCACAGTGTTTCTCAAGATCCTCTTCAGGGCAGTAAGAACATTTGCACTAGCCACACACTATCCCTGGAAAAAAGATGAAATGGGACCTCAAAGCTCCCATCTGAACCTCATTCCAGCATCTTTACATTTACACCTAGACCCTGAAAGAGAGAAGGAAAGCCTGAGAGAAGCCATGAGCCTATAGCAAACCGGTTCCCAAATGCAGGTCTGAAGACCCAGAGCTAGTGCAAGGTAACATGTTTATTCACCTGCATGAATTTTAAAACATTTCTTATAAAATATTTAAGACATATAAAATGTATCAAGGTACAGAGAATAATACAATAAACATCTCTGTACCCACCACACAGCTGGGAAAGCATGAAAATATCTTTACTTTTTTGTGAGTGATGTTGATAGTAGATGACAGTATTTTGCTATGTCCTAACTTTTTAAAAAATTGAAATTGTTTTCGTATGCTTAAAATGTTCTTTGAAATTTTACTCTTATGTGGCATCCCAAAGTCTAAGAACACCGGGAAGTACCCATTAGGGAAAAAGTTATGTACCATTTATGGAAGAGGAGCTATTTAGACCTAGATCCAGAGCAAACCATGCTTCTTGCTGTTCGGAGCATCCAATCAGCACGGAATCTTCTATTCTTTGACTATCCTGTCCAAACTTACCCAGAAGCCTTTCCAACTCTAAGAAACACAAAAGGGAAGAAAACAAGGGTTTTAATTAAGCCACTAGAGCCATAGACTTACAGGAAACCATCTACTTCAACTTGAAGTAGGTACACCTGGATGCCAGTCACTGCCCTGCAGCTAATTAGCTATGTAATCTTGGTCTAATCACTTAACCTCCCCAGGCCTCTGTTTTCTCATCAGCAATCTGAAGTTTAGACTACAAAATTCTTTCTGTATAACACTGTATTACTCTATGATTGTATCATAAAAGGAGCATGTCCCTTAGTTTTAAAGATACAGGAAAGTAGATTTTTTTTAATTTCTTCTGTACAGCATGGGAAATTATGTTCAATATCTTGCAATAAACTTTAATAAAAAATATAAAAACAAATTATGTGTATGCACGACTGGGATATTGTGCTGTACACCAGAAATTGACACGTTGTAATTGACTGCACTTCAATTAAAAAAAGGCGGGGGGATCATACCAAGTGCCAAGAAAAAAAGATCCATGATAGTTAACTTATTATGGCACTGAGAAAAAAAATATGTCATGCTTAAAATGGTAAAGAGACCAGATCAGCTCTGTACTTTAGTCTCTAGATTATGCTGCTTCTGTGGGCCAAGGTAGACTATTCATCTGAGATCCCGGTCTGTATAAGACAAGTGCTGTGTAGGGAGAAAACCTGTCCTCCCGTGCATGAAGGACTTGTATTTATTTGTCCATAATACAACATTACATTGCTAATCTGTAAATAATGTTTAGTACCTTCTGATAAGCATCCCCATATACTTCTGCCCTGCTAGAAACTACCTAAGTATTCATCTGACCCACAGAGGAATTTCCCTAGCACTGTATTTAGAAGTCAGTGTATAGTGACATCACATAAAACTGAAAGTTAGCATTTTTTTCACGATTTTTTCACTTACTTATGTATTTATTTTACAATATCATATTTTTAAAATTGAAGTATAGTTGATGTACAATATTATCTGTTACCGGTATACAATATAGTGTTTCACAGATTTTTAAAGGTTATACTCCATTTATAGTTATTATAAAATATTTGCTGTATTCCCCATGTTGTACAATACATCCTTGTCTCTTATGTTATACCTGATGGTTTGTACCTCTTAATCCTCCACCTCCATCTTGCTCCTCCCCCTTCCCTCTCCCCACTGGTAACCACTAGCATCTTGAAAGCCAAATCCCAGTGGCTTAGATATCTCTAGTTATATACCCTAAGAGAGTTCTCAAAACCAATTAATTTTAGCTCACATTTAGTTTTGACTCTTCTAGGAGAAATCCAGTCATGAGGCAAAGCTTAAACAGTGTAACAGTGAGCAATGCCATGGAGGCTGGAAATCACTGGTCCATGACAGGGGTTAGCAAAACATTTTAAGTTTTGTGAGCCATATGGTCTGTGTCACAACTCCCAACTCTCTCTTCTGCCATTTTAGTGCAAAAGCAGTCAGAGACAACATGTAAATGAATGAGTATGTCTGTGTTCCAACAAAAATTTATTTACAAAACAGGCACAGGTTCCAATTTGGACAGCAGTTTTGCTGATCCTTGGTTTAAGGCAGTAGTGGTTCATACCATTACCAAATAATAGAATAAAACTGGGCGATTCAGGCTTATGCACTAAATAATTAATTGGCAGAAGCAGTTTGAAAAAATCTGGACTCTGAAGTCAGAGGATTCTTCTCAGGGATTCAATATGGACGAGTTCTGCTTAGTGGCCACAGGCTGGTCTACTCTACTGGTCCAGTTTAGGCTTACCTAATAGGCTGTGCTGCGGGGCCAGGTATTGATGTCCTGATTTCTGAAGCAAAGGAGCCAGGTTATGGAAGAGGTAAAATGCTCCTGTCTGCTGGGCTTTTTTACATGCATCATCATCTTCCTTCAGCTCAAATAAATACCTATATTGTGGAAGTAATCAAAGCATTACGAAACCACACCTAGTTACTTATGAAGCATTCGTCTTTGAGAATTCTGTTCCTGCAATTCTCTCCACCACAGTTATTCCCTTTTATTTATTTACATCCTAAATTGCTTTAAAAAAGGATTTGGGGTAGCTACAGGGAGTCATTACATCCTTTGTCCTACTGTATACCTTGCCCATATAAACTTCTGTGGTTGCACTTACCTGGTATTATTTGTTAATCTGTCTGTCTCCCCTGAAAGACTATGATCTCTGTAAGGGCAGAGTATTCCTTAGTTCTATATTGCCAGTAATTAGCATATGGAATGGCTCAATTCAATAAATATTTATTGAATTGAACCTCAAGGGTAATAAATATTTACTGAATTGAACCTCAAGTTACTTTGCCAATATTATTGCTATGAGGCAAGAATTTACATGCGAGTGAAAGGAAAACCTGTACATTGATAAAACATCAACCACAGAGTACCTAGCAGTTGGGAGCCGACCTTATTACTGCAGACAGAGCAAGCAGTATACCTTCAGGAGCTCTCATTCAATCTAGGGATGATAAAGATTAAATTTTATCTTTAATGCACTCTTGTTTCAACCATCTAGTCCTCCAAGTGGATGACATTAGCTCCTTAAGTCTACTGAAGGGACCACTGATGAGAGTGAAGCCATACTTGACCTACACTCACTTAATAAGTGTAATATTGTCACTAGCCAAAACTAAAATGGGGAAAAAGAGAACATCCTATAATTAGTTTCTCTAAAATATATATATAAAAAAGTAATGGAGCAAGTTCTGGGCTTTTCCAGTACCTTCGTTAAGGATGGCTCCTTTCAAGAGCTTGGGAATCAGGGCAGGGTCTGCACGATTCAGGGAGGACTGAAAGTGGACTCTCCTTCTGGGGCCTTAGGGATAACAGTTTTTGACTGTTGAAAGCCCTGAAACAGATTCTCAGGTATATGGCGTATTTTGTCACTTAAGTGGGAAACACAGTTTACAGATATTTTCTGTAGGATCTGGGAGCTTTTGTAACACCAGTAGAGCTGGCTCCACATAAAACTACAAAGCAAAAGGATAAATGTGCCCCAGTGGCATCTTTAGGAACCTATTTTTGACTATGATAAAAGAGATTACAATGAGTACTTTATAAACAGAAGACAAAAGAAACCTGAGATTTTAATACTCATGATATTTTTAAACTTATAATGAGTGACTGCAACCTCCTGGGACAAAGACTCAATGTATGTCAAAGGAGAGACATGTGCCACTCAGAAGTTACCAAATATAAACAATAGAGCAAATACTGCTGCCTTTGTAAAAGAACAGTAAGAGTGGTACAACTTGTGCTTTGCCCTAATGACCCTAGAAAGCAAATCACTTCAAAAACATCCAGGTTAAGGTCTTAAACCCAGGGCCTCACTGGAACTGGGACTGAGATCCAAAAAGTTCCTGACATTCTTCTTGATCAAAACACTATATTTTAAAATGCATTTTACCCCTTTAGTTATAATAGTATGGAAACCAAAATGCTAAGATTATCAAACTTAAACTGTTTTTCCCTTATTATCAAAGTAAAAAAAATAGTCATCCTATAGAAATCAGAAAATACAGTTATCAATTTTCTTTAAAAAAGAGAAATTATCAAGAATCCCACCACTGAGATCTGATCACTATTTAGACCTTGGAATTCTCCAAACTATTTATTAATATTATGCATCTATCATATTATAATAAGTATATTTAGAATTGATCTAATTTGTAGCCTTTTTCTTCAGCATTAACATTTTTTCACACCATATTCTTTATTAATAGAATTTTTGTGTGTGTGATTTTTTAAATTCATTTTCAATATATTTAACCCCTTTAACACTCGTTTTTTTAGACTATTCAGTAATTCTGTTACTATTTTCAGAATCTCAGCTTAAGCACTGTAAATAACCTGTGTCCAACAATATATAAAACAAGTATTGCAATTCTCACTCTTGCTCGTGTAAGATTGTGTATGTTTATGTGCCTTTACATTTTAGACTGGGCGCTTGTGTTTGGCAGAGCTTTCAATGTGGGAAGCCCTGGCTGTGAGTGTATCCCTCCAGAGGGGTTTTACATTTTCTTCTGCAAGGTGCAGAGGTATTAATAAATCTATGAATACTACATGAATTCTTTTCTTAGGGTGGGGGTTTCGGGAC